ATGGTAAAGAATCTGCCTGCAGTGCAGGAGGCATGGGTTTGATCCTTGGGCTGGGAAGTTCCCCTGGAGAAGGGAATGGCTACCCACTCCAGTATTCTTGTCTGAAAAATTCCAAGGACAGAGGAGCCTGGCAGGCTACAGTCCATGGGGTTGTGAAGAGTCAGACATGACTGAAGTGACTGACCACACACACAACAGCATATCATAGACTCGGGGGACGTGTTAACAACAGAAGTTTATTTCTTCAAAGTTCTGGAGGCTGGGAAGTCCAAGATCAAGATATGGCAGATTTGGTGTCAAGTGAGAGCCTGCTTCCTGGCTTACAGACAGCATCTTGTTGCTCTACGCTCACATGACCAAAGGGACTGGGGAGCTCTCTGGATGGTTTCCTTTATAAGAGCACTGATCTCATTCATGAGGACTTAACTCTCATGACCTAACCACTTCCCAAAGTTCCCAACTCCCAAATACCATCATACTGGGTGTTAGGATTTCCAACAAATGAATTATGGGAACACAAATATTCAGTCTATAGCAACTTCCACCCCCAAAGGATTCTGATTTTCCTCTTCTCTCATTGCCTGGGTGAGAATGTATACAGTGTAATGAGAGACACTAGTGGTTGGCATGTGCTGCACATGTGAAGCTTGTAAAGTTGGAGAAAATGAAGCTACTGTAGGGAGTAGGAAGTCAGTGCGAGTTTTGGACTGACTCGTGTGTCCAAGGAAGGGAACATTAGATAGTGGTGTTTGGTGGGAGAGAATGAAGGCATGGCGTTGTTAAGAGTTGGCTGCAATTGTTTAGGCACTGAGGAGAGAGAAAGAATAGGACTTGGTATCTGAGTGTTTGATGGAAGGGAAAATGGAAGCCAGAAAAAGCGAAACGGACCAGGCACTGTACTGAGCATATTGTTATTGTTAAGTCACTAAGTCGTGTTCGAATTTTTTGCATTCCCATGGACTGTAGCCTGCCAGGCTCCTCTGTCCATGGGATTTCCCAGGCAAGGATACTGGAGTGGGTTGCCATTTCCTTCTCCAGGAGATCTTCCTGACCCATGGATTAAACCCACCTCTCATGTCTTATGCCTAACCCTTTGCTGGCAGATTCTTTACCATTGAGCCAACAGGGAAGCCTGTACTAAGCATTCAGTTCAGCTCACTAAGCATAACCACCTTTCAAAGTAGGTATTGTTTCTGTTTTACAATCTAAAGAGATTTAATGCAAATCGAAGTAATACAGGGTTTAAGTGTATGAGTTGAACTTTGAATAAATGTCTATCATTTTAGAGTCTACTCTAACATACTGTGATTTTGAATTTCTAAGAGGTCAATAGAAAAAGGGACAACTGGAATAGGGCTGGTTTTAGGGGTAACATGAGTTTATTCTTGAGGCTTGATGTGCTCATCAAGCATCTGGGAAAGAATCAGTTGGCTTTAGAGAGAGCTGGGGCTTACAATATTGGAATTTTTTAATTTTTTTTGGCATAGACATGACAATTCATGAGGACTCCCAGAAAGAACATAAAGAATTTAAGAAGAGAGAGGACAAAGTCTTGACTATTAATAATATGTCCAGGTTATGGCTCAGAGGTTAAAGCATCTTCCTCCAATGTGGGAGACCCGGGTTCGATCCCTGGGTTGGGAAGATCCCCTGGAGAAGGAAATGGTAACCCACTCCAGTATTCTTGCCTGGAGAATCCCATGGATGGAGGAGCCTGGTAGGCTACAATCCACAGGGTTACAAAGAGTCGGACACGACTGAGCGAATTCAATTGGTTTCAATAGAATAAAGTAGGACCAGGTATAGAAAAACCAGGAAAAGATTAGAAAGTTATGGGATAAAATAGGAAGTGTAGCCTTACCAAAAACATGTAAAACATGGTCTAGACGAAAAGATGGTCAAAGCTGTTGACTACTTCAGATATCAAGAAGACAGGCTTAATCTGGCCACAAGGAGAAAAATAGTTGGGGATCAATAATTTCATAAGATTTACATAGTAGCCAGTATGTAATGAATTGAACAATAAGATGGTGAAGTTAGGGAAATAGATCATCTAAGAAAATCTGTAGCCTCTTACTTTGAGATCTTGGGAAAAGGAGAGAAAATGTGAGAGAAATTCGTGCATGGTAGCTAGGAGAAAGAACAAGATATAGCAAAGTTTCTATGAGAGCGACAACTAGGCATCTTTATAACTTGGTAAGGAAAGAGACAATTAAAGGGTAGCAGACTGAAAAGCAACTGAAGGAAAATGGCTTTCTTAAAGGAGAGAGAGTGTTTTAATTCGAAGAATACTAAAAATAGTAAATAATGCCTATAATCAACTACTAAAAGTTATATAAGGTAAAGTAAGGGCCCTTCTTAAGCTCCCTGATTTACAAACCCCTCTCCCATTCTACCTTCCCTGTTAATAGTTTGGGAGGAATGTTTTCTAGATTTTTCCTTTATTTAAATAAGCATCTGTCTCTTTCTGTCTCTTTGCCTCTGTTCTCAAATCTATACTTTTTGTTAAGTTAAAATGAAATGATGCTATATAATGTTTTCAAATTGCTTCTTTCACACCAATCATGGAGATTTTTCTAGATCAATACATACAGTCACACATCCCATCCATTTAATTCTTTTTAACAGGTGCATGATGTTCTCTTATTTGGCTAGATCATAATTTATATTGAAATCCCTTCATTGATGAACTTTTCTTGGTACCTTATTTCTAGAAAGGGAATCGCTGGGTGTGGGGGACTGAATGGAGCCTCCAAAGATATTCACATTTTAATCTCTGGAATCTATGAATGTTACTTTATAGACATGATTATTAACTTAATCACCACAACTGATTGCCACCATGGGAAGATTATCCTGGATTGTCTGAGTAGGCCCTAAATGTGATTACAAAGGTCCTTATAAAATGGGCTCAGAGGGGGATTTTACTATATAAGAAAAAGACCATGTGGCGACAGAAGCAGAGAGAAACAGTGTCAGAGATAGAAGATGCTACGCCACTGGCTTTGAAGCAGGAAGACAGGGCCAAAAGCTAAGTACATAATATATGGTTAGCCTTCAGAAGTTAGAAAAGCAAGGAAACAGATTCTTCCTTGGAGCCTCTTGAAGAAATGTTTTGTTGACACTTTGGTTTTAGTCCTATAACAAACATTTTGGATCTCTGGCCAATAGAGCTATAAAATATAAATTTGTGTTGGTTTAAGCCACGAAGTTTGTAGTAATTCAGTATGACTGCATCTGAACATGATTACATCTGCAAAGACCGTATTTCCAAATAAGGTCACATTCATATGTATTGGAGGTTAGGATCTTAACATTTATCTTGGGGGAGAGAGTTCAACACATACATAACATCTGTTAAGAAAATGTCACTTCATCTGTAAGTGGTTTTAAGCTTTGATTTCTGGAAACTTGTCATTTAATGCTGGAATTGTTATTACATCACTCAGCTTAGAAAAATCCTGGCTGGATTTGGGATTTCAGGAAAGCCCCAGAGGAAAGAGGGACGATGGTGAGTATTTGGAGGATAGTGAGTTTGGTATGGATCAGAGAGCATGTCAGAATACACACATGTAACACATCACTTTAATAAAACAAAGTGAGCAAAACTAAACAACATATTTTTTCCTTTTATTTTTTAATTTTTATTTTATACTAGTTGATTAATAATGTTGTGTTAATTTCAGATGTACAGCCAAGTGATTCAGTTATACAGGTACATATATGAATTCTTTTTCAAATTCTTTTCCCATTTCGGTTATTACAGTGTTGAGCAGAAGTCCCTGTGTTAAACAGTAGGTCCTTGTTGGTTATCTGTTTTAAAAATAGCAGTGTGACGTGTCAGTCCTAAATTCCGAATTTATCCGTCCTCCGTATCCTCTCCCCTTGTTAATCCTAAATTCTTTCTCTATTTCTGTTTTGTAAATGAGTTCATTTTTATCATTTTTTTGATTCTGCATATAAGCGATATTATATTTGTCTTTCTTGGTCTGATTTACTTCACTCACTATGATAATCTCCAGGTCCATTCATGTTGTTGCAAATGGCTAGACAACTTATTTTCACACACATGTGTTGATAAATACAATGTGTGTGTGTGTGTGTGTGTGTGTGCGCTCTTCAAATAATATCTAAAGAAAAGCAGCACAGTAGGGAAAGGCAGACAGCAGGGATGGCATAGGGAGGAACACACAAGATTCTGCAATGTGGTGAGTTCACGGGTATCATTAGCCTTCATTATTTAATCTTTTGTTTATATTAATATGTAATAAAACAGCAAGTATAAGTTATGCTTTAGGTAAAATGGGCTTCCCTGATAGCTCAGCTGGTAAAGAATCAGCCTGCAATGAAGGAGACTCCGGTTCGGTTCCTGGGCTGGGAAATTCCGCTGGAGAAGGGAAAGGCTACCCACTCCAGTATTCTGGCCTGGAGAATTTGTATAGTCCATGGGGTCGCGAAGAGTAGGACACGACTGAGCGATTTTCACTTTCACTTAAGTAAAACTGTGCCTCTATAACCTAAAATTATTTTAAAAAGGCATAGAGATTGTAGAAAATATGCTTTCAGAATGGTTTCATGCAGCTAGGCCCAGAAATTGACACTGGAAAGCGGCACCATCTGTTTCTCAAAGGCAACTTTTCCAGGCGGTACTTGAGAAAGAGCGTTGGGTAAACACTCGCTAACTATGAAAGCGTTACAGTAACTTGTATTCCTATACGACTCAAGCACCAACAAATCAGGAGGCTCACAGGTGAGCAATGAAGTCCCGAAATCACAACGTGCACGTTGTTTCATCACTTTACCAGAGAAATTCTTTCCGCACAAGTAGTCTGAGCAGACTGTTGCCCTATGCCAAAATGACAGCGCCGGCGCCACAACAGGTACAGCGCATGTCCGGAAGTTGCGCAACCCCATAAGGCAGCGCGCCCACACCCGTGGGGAGAGTTTCCGCCATTTTTGAAAATCAGGAAGGTTCGGAGGTGAGTGCCGCTGCTGCTGTGATGGCAGCCTTTGCCGTGGAACCCCAGGCGCCCACGTTGGGTGAGTAAAAAACTGCTTTCCCTCCGCTAGCACTGCGATGCACACTGTAAGCTTGGAAGCGGGCACGCTGAGAGACAGTAATCGTAGGGTCTCCTCTGCTAATTAAACCGCAAAGAGCTAGCCCTTTGGCACGCCCCCAGGTTCCAAGTCCACCGCTTTCTCTAGGCGTCGCCACCCTGTAACTACTAACAGGGCTCTGGGACGCTGCGGGCTCCGAGGAAGTCGAAGAAACGGCGGTCTTGTGGTGACTAAGCCGCTTTGTATCCTCCCCGCAAGCCAGAGCCAGACCTGTCCATACCTGAGACTCCGCCGGTGCGGCAGACGCTCTGCAGGATTCCAGGTTCCTGTGAAGCGTTGGTGGGAAGGTCCTCACCTGTGAACACGGGGGTGGGCGGTGCCCTGGAGTGTGGTCACCTTTCACCGCTGTTCGGTCTCCTAGGCTTCTCGTTACTGCTTGATTCCAACTCCTCCCGGGATTCGCAAAAGGAATGTGTTTTGAATGGAAACTTGAGTTGTTCGCTCTTTAATTAACCAGGTGATGGCAACCATTGAGATATTCCCTTAATAGGAAGCCATGAGTTCGCTTCATTTTCTTTATCTTGGGAAAATGACTCTTGTAGAGGATCTTTTTCTCTACATTGCATTCCTCTTCATTTATGGTACCCACTCCAGTACTCTTGCCTGGAAAATCCCGTGGACGGAGGAGCCTGGTAGGCTGCAGTCCATGGGGTCGTGAAGAGTCGGACACGACTGAGCGACTTCACTTTCAGTTTTCACTTCCATGCATTGGAGCAGGAAATGGCAACCCACTCCAGTGTTCTTGCCTGGAGAATCCCAGGGACGGGGGAGCCTGGTGGGCTGCCGTCTATGGGGTCGCACAGAGTCGGACACGACTGAAGCGACTTAGCAGCAGCAGCAGAATGATTTTAAAAAATCATTTCCGTTATATAATGGGGGCATTGCTGATATATGTTGTTGACAAAAATATTGCATGTCAGTCTTGGATGTCGATTATTGTGTGTGTGTGTCGGTTGAGTTGTGGGTTTTGTGAGAACCGTGGAATAGCTTAAAACAGAAAAACAAACAAACAAACAAAAAAACCCCAGAAAATAAACCATCTATTATCATAGAGACGTATTTGAAAATTCGATTATAACTTTGTGACTTTGGAAAGGAGAGCAAGCACGGTATGTCTGTGTAGAATGAGTTTTATTAGAATTGATGGATATATGATGTTGGCCATGTTTTGTATAAAATCAGTTTCTTTTGACAATAGAGTAACTTGAACTGTTTTAGTTATAAAAATCTAAATGTGTAATATCAGGGGAGATACTCAGCTAATGGCTAGGTATTTATGTCTTGTATTATTTTAGAGGTCAGAAAACTTTTCATTTCCAGTATGAAAGTGTTCTGCTTAACAGAAGCATTGTCGAGTATATATTTCTTGGGGTTACAGTTATGAATAAACCCCTGGTCCGAAATCTGACATTAGTTGATATTGTTTAAATCCTTATTCCAGACGAGCTGTAAACATTTTCCCAGCACCTTAGTTCAGTTCAGTCGCTCAGTCATGTCAGACTCTTTGTGACCCCATGGACTGCAGCATGTCAGGCCTCCCTGTCCATCACCAACTCCCGGAGTTTACTCAAACTCATGTCCATTGAGTCTGTGATACTGTCCAACCATCTCATCCTCTGTTGTCCCCTTCTGCTTTCAATCTTTCCCAGCATCAGGGTCTTTTCAAATGAGTCAATTCCTTGCATCCGGTGGCCAAAGTATTGGAGTTTCAGCTTGAGCATCAGTCCTTCCAATGAATATTCAGGATTGATTTCCTTTAGGATTGACTGGTTGGATCTTGCTGTCCATGGGACTCTCAAGAGTCTTCTCCAACATCACAGTTCAAAAGCATCAATTCTTCGGCGCTCAGCTTTGTTTATGGTCCAACTCTCACATCCATACATGACTACTGGAAAAACCATAGCCTTAACTAGATGGCCCTTTGTAGGCAAAGGAATGTCTCTGCTTTTTAATATGCTGTCTAGGTTGGTCATAACTTTTCTTCCAAGGAGCAGGTGTCTTAATTTCATGGCTGCAGTCACCATCTGCAGTGATTTTGGACCCCCCAAAAATAAAGTCTGTCACTGTTTCCACTGTCTCCCCATCTATTTGCCATGAAGTGATGGGGCCAGATGCCGTGATCTTAGTTTTCTGAATGTTGAGCTTTAAGCCAACTTTTTCACTCTCCTTTTTCACTTTCATCAAGAGGCTGTTTAGTTGTTCTTCACTTTCTACCATAAGTGTGGTGTCATCTGCATATCTGAGGTTATTGATATTTCTCCCAGCAATCTTGATTCCAGCTTGTGCTTCATCCAGCCCAGCATTTTGCATGATGTACTCTGCATATAAGTTTAATAATCAGGGTGACAATATACAGCCTTGACATACTCCTTTCCCAATTTGGTACAGTCTGTTTTTCCATGTCCAGGTCTAACTGTTTCCTGACCTGCATACAGATTTCTCAGGAGGCAGGTCAGGTGGTCTGGTAGTCCCGTCTCTAAGAATTTTCCACAGTTGTGATTCACACAAAGACTTTGGCGTAGCCAATAAAGCAGAAGTAGATGTTTTTCTGGAACTCTCTTGCTTTTTCCATAATCAAACGGATGTTGGCAATTTGATCTCTGGTTCCTCTGCCTTTTCTAAATCCAGCTTGAAGATCTGGAAGTTCACGGTTCATGTACTGTTGAAGCCTGGCTTGGAGACTTTTGAGCATTACTTGGCTAGCATGTGAGATGAGTGCAATTGTGCAGTAGTTGAGCATTCCTAGCACTTAATGGAACACTAAAGCTAATGGTTACTTCAACGAACAATGCTAGCTGAGTAAGACACACCACTTAACATTTTAGGAGTAGAGACTCGGAAATGGAAATTTAAGGCTTGAGGATCCACCAATATAACTCTCTAAGGAACATTAGTCTGAGGGCCTGGTGGTTAGTGACAGTTTAGGTAAGAGTCCTTTGGCCCTCCTCACTCTGGTTATTTCTCTTGTATCACAATATGTATTTAGATGAACCAAAATTTTTTTGACTTAATTTTTACTATACTTGCTCTTGTTGAGTTGCTAAGTCATGCCTGACTCTTTTTTGACCCCATGGAAGGTTCTTCTATCCATGGGATTTCCCAGGCAAGAATCCCGGAGTGGGTGACCGTTTCCTGTGTCTCCTGCATTGGCAGGTGATTCTTTACCACTTTGCCACCTAGGAAGCCCATATATGTTTTTTTTTTTTTCTTTTGGGGCTGGCAGATGGTACCTAAAACTTTGTACTTTGGGTTTATAAATATATGTTCATAATATGCTTTTGTTTAGACTTTTGATTTGATTTTAGTGTTATGTTCTTTGGAAATATGTAGTAGTATGGTGGTAACATGGTAACTAGCACTTTGAAGTGACTACAATGTAATGTAGCTCTTCACACCTGTTTCAGTATTTGCTTTCTTTTCCTTTTTCATGTGCTTGCATTGTTACTATCAAGGTCTACCATAATGAGAAATAAGAGGAAGAGTAAATACTGACAGCATTTGGATAGCACTGAACACAATTTTGAGGCTGTTAAAAGTTCAGTTCAGTCGCTCAGTCGTGTCTGACTCTTTGTGACCCCATGAGTTGCAGCACTCCAGGCCCCCCTGTCCATCACCAACCAGTGTAGTTAATAAAGGCCGTATAAAGTATCAAGTGTTTGAACTTTCTGAGTGCTATAAATCACAAATCAGCCTTGTTAGATAATTGAAAAATTAAATTTTCATAAGCAGAAATTGCAAATTCTACATGTACACAGTAGTGAGTTTTGGCTATTGTAAGGTACTATTAGAATAATAATAATAACACTTGTGAGTACTGATTGTATATTAGGCACTTGAGTTAAGTGCTTTGTTATCTATCTTTCTAATCAAAGCTGAGTGCTGTGATTATGTCCATCTTTCTGAAAGACTTGAAACCAGGTCTCTTGACTCCAGAGCTCATGTTTTCCTTACTGTGCTATTTTTGTTTTGAAATTAGGAGAAGTTATAGCTTCCTTTTTTGGGCTCCAAATCACTGCAGATGGTGATTGCAGCCATGAAATTAAAAGACGCTTACTCCTTGGAAGGAAGGTTATGACCAACCTAAATAGCATGTTAAAAAGCAGAGACATTACTTTGCCAACAAAGGTCCATCTGGTCAAGGCTATGGTTTTTCCAGTGGTCATGTATGGATGTGAGAGTTGGACTGTGAGGAAAGCTGAGCGCCGAAAAATTGATGCTTTTGAACTATGGTATTGGAGAAGACTCTTGAGAGTCCCTTGGACTGCAAGGAGATCCAACCAGTCCGTCCTAAAGGAGATCAGTCCTGAGTGTTCATTGGAAGGACTGATGCTGAAGCTGAAACCCCAATACTTTGGCCACCTCATGCAAAGAGTTGACTCATTGGAAAAGACCCTGATGCTGGGATGGATTAGGGGCAGGAGGAAAAGGCGACAACAGAGGATGAGATGGCTGGATGGCATCACTGACTCGATGGACATGAGTTTGAGTAAACTCTGGGAGTTGGTGATGGACAGGGAGGCCTGGCGTGCTGCACTTCATGGGGTCGCAAAGAGTCAGACACGACTGAGCGACTGAACTGAACTGAATAGCTTCCTTATTTTCATAGTTGGAATAATAATATTACCTATCCTATAACTTGTGAAAAATAGTTTTGAATGGATCATCATGAAGTATCAGTTCTCCTCTTAATTGGTTTTCTGTTAGGGAGACTTACTGATTATTCCTAACTTTAAAATGAATGGTTTTAAAAATTACCCAAAGCATATTTCTTAGTTGGTATGCTGTCATCACTGTTATTTAATATGTGCTTTAATGTGTGCATAATTACACTTTTATTACAGAAATGACACGGTTTTTGTGTATGGGGAAAGAAAAATGGGACATGCAGCTAAACCTGTTGTGTCTAATTTGCTTGGACTTTATGTTGCTAGTTCATCCTGTCCTTCTTTTTGGTTGTTACATAGTAGAAACTGCCAAAAATGGAAAGAAGTTGTTCTGTATGTATTAGGGATTTTTTTTTTTTTGGCAGTAAGCTAAAATTTAAAAATAATTGTTGGTTCTTAAATCTATGAAATAATGTAAACAGCTGTCAAATATTATTTTGTTAATGCCAAATATTTTCATATTTTTCTGGAAAAATTTTATGGTTTTTAAAATAATTTAACTGTGGTTCTGTAATATTTAACAATTTTTATTAAATTCTAAAAATTGTGTGTACTGGTCCTTGTATCTTTTTGTTACCTATTATTACATTGAAGTCCTTTCTCTGTATTTTATTTTCTGATTCATTTAGGATCTGAACCAATGATGCTGGGTTCACCCACGTCTCCAAAGCCAGGGGTTAATGCCCAATTCTTACCTGGATTTTTAATGGGGGATTTGCCAGCTCCAGTGACTCCACAGCCTCGATCGATTAGTGGCCCTTCCATAGGAGTAATGGAAATGAGATCACCTTTACTTGCAGGTAGGTAAATGCTTGGGCTTCCCTGGTGGCTCAGCTACGAAGAAACTCCCTGCCAATGTAGGAGATGCGGGTTGGATCTCTGGGTTGGGAAGATCCCCTGGAGAAGGAAGTGGCAACCCAGTCCAGTATTCTTGCCTCGGAAATCCCATGGACAGAGGAGTCTGGCAGCCTGCAGTCCATGGGGTCTCAAAAGAGTTGGGACATGACTTAGTAACTTGACAACAACAAAGGTAAATTGCTTAGTGTAGTTTTAAGTACTATCAGTACATGTACTAGAATTTTAAAAAGAGTAGTGATGCAGCTTTCACCTTCATCAACTAAAATTATTGAAACAGGTGTAAGCAATGTAATTTACTTTAATTCTAACAATCACTCCCTAAAAATATGCATACTGCATTTTATTCAATCTAGCATAGATTGTAAAACTCATCATTAAGCACCACTAGGAGAGAAAAACACTAAATATGATACACCATTTGCCATTTTTTGTAAATTATTCCTATTTCAGAGATGTTAAGTGTGTTTGGGTGGGGAGAGGGGAATACGGTCTTTCAACTTCAGCTGGCTTCAGTTTAAAAAATTCGTCTTAATATAATAACAGCAAATATTCAGTCAAAAGAAGTATAATTTGTAAATTTGTAGATATGAATTTGACTTCTAGTCTTAATGAGTTAAGATTCTCACTCACTGTGTTTAGTGAAAGGACTTACTCCACAAACTATGCCTTGCAGTTGCCAGCACAAAATATTGTTACGTAAATGAAACATCTAATACAGACTCTTGGCAAGCAAATATTTTAAAAGATAATTTGGAAGTTTTGACCACGAGTATTGAGAGCTACAGAAATGGTTGAATTCCAAATATGAGCTAATAAGTGTTTTAATAGATGTTTAAATGGAAATTCTTCTTTCTTTAATTGTCCTAAGGTATTATTGGGCTTCCCAATTGGCGCTAGTGGTAAAGAACCCACCTGCCAATGCAGGAGATATAAGAGACTTGGGTTTGATCCCTGGGTCGGGAAGATCCCCTGGAGGAGGGCATGGCAACCCACTGCGGTATTCTTGCCTGGAGAATCCCATGGACAGAGGAGCCTAGTGGGCTACAGTCCATGGGGTGGCAACAAGTTGGACACGACTGAAGAACTTAGCATGCATGCCTGTGAGGTGTTATTTGTGTTAAAGTGGTTTATAATTTTTTCAAAAAAGATTTATCAGGGAGAATTATCATAAGTTATAACTGAAGTGATTCAGTTAGAAACATTATCTCGGACAGATTATTTATTTTTACATATTTCAAGTGTATTATTTTATTGTTGTAGCTACCATATATTAAGTATTTATGAGCCAGGGAGTATCCTAAGCATTTCGTATGTGATCCTATTCTTTTGTCGATCTTAAAGAGTAGCTGGTCATGCTTCTCTCTTAGAGGAGTGAACTGAGGCTAGGCGCAGTGTAGAACTTTGTTGGAGCTCGCCGGTCAGCGACCACAGGTGATTAAAGGCTGGGCCGGCCTTGTTCTGTAGCCCGTGCTCCAGTGTGAATGGCTTTCGCTGTACTGTCTTGACTCAGACATTAGTCTTACAGAAGGTGTGGGCTGCTCTACTAGTTGGCATTGATGATTCTCTGACTTAAGAAGGCCTCTTTGTATACCCCAAAGTTGGTCCTTTTCCTGTATGTTTATTATGTACTTTAATAAATTTTTACTGTGAGAAACATGGGAATTTGACTGTCAAATTCCACATTAAAATATTATATTTTTTCAAGTATATACATACTGGAGCTGTTTAAAATTCTATTTCTAGTGAGAAATAGGATTAAATTTGATATTGAATTTTTAAGCATTTTGTAGAGAAAACAAAACTTGTATGCATTCACTAAAAACTAAAATTTCTATATAGTCCTTGTTCTGGAAGCTTTTCTGGAAGGGCACTCTATGGATCACCAACATTGGTATCACTGGCAACTTATTAAAAATTCATAATCTCAGGCTCCATTCCACACGGTCTGAGACAGAACCTGAATTTTAACAAGATGCCCAAGTGACTCTGTGTATTAAGGTTTGAGAAACATTGGGAGACAGGAGTTTAAGCCATTATTTTAAAAATATTAAAGGATCTTACCAGATAGGTGGAAGATTTCTTTGTTTTCTTACCTGACTGTGTCTTTTGTACACTGTTAGGTGGATCACCACCACAGCCTGTTGTACCAGCTCATAAAGATAAAAGTGGAGCTCCGCCAGTTAGAAGTATTTATGATGACATTTCCAGCCCAGGACTTGGACCAACACCTTTAACTTCAAGAAGACAGGTGATAGACACATCCTCATTTATGACCATACGTACTCATTTCATGTTTTCATGTGGTTATACAGTGAGGGTCAGAAATTTGAAATGTTTCCCTGAAGTCTATTTTAGTATAACTCTGTTGCATAGAAATAAGCATTAGGGGCAGTTTCCATAGAGTCTACTTAAATTGTGCTTATTATGAAATGTGCTTAAAAATGTAATAGAATTCAGGTAATTTCCTTGTGTAGGTAATTCAGTGATTTTTAAAGAGGTACTTATTACGCCTGTCCATACCCTCAGCCTCTTTAATAAACATGTAGAAATGATTATTGTTTAAGTCAGTGATTGTTTAAAAGTTCAATATACATAGTTTTGTGACAGAACAAATGAAGATCCAGGGTTTTATCCAGATCTCAGGTACCTTGTGATGATTTGAGATGATTATTTTTAGGGCTGGTTTTATTAGTATAAGACCAATGCCCTTTCAGAGCTGTTTACTGTTTACTTATTTTACTAAAAATGCTTCCTTCTGCCTGTTTAATGAGTGATGGCTTAGTACGTTCATGGTGTAGATGTTCTGCTGGTGACGCTAAATCTTGGCTGGTGTGGATGTAGGTGTCCTGCTAGTGTTACTTTCAGTTATGGATTGCAAGGTAGAGATTCTCTGTTCTGATGGGACTGATAGCACAAAAAAGTGTCCAATACTTATGAAGTGCCTGTAGTGTCCATGCCCTGATCTCATGTATTATTTCATTTAATCCTCACAGTGACTCTGGGATGAATGAATCTCTTAGGAGCTTTGTCTTATCACTGAGGAAACTAGGACACCAAAAGCCCAAGGCAGCTAGTCTAGTTGAGCCAGATTTTAAACCCAGGGAATATTGACTCTAGAGCTAGTGTTTATAAGAACAGTGTTGTGCTAATTCTACTATGATTAGTCTTGATTGTCAGTTGAAAGGTAGTATGGATTTTTCTTTTAAGTGGCAAGTTTAGGAGCTTTTATAGTCAAAAGTTTTCTCTACTATTACTGTTATGCTTAGTAGGATACAGAAACAAAGTGTTTCAGCTAAACTGCTAAGTTCGTTGTATAAAGATACTTCTGCTGTTTGATTTGGAGGAATATTAAAGGCCTTTCTTTAAATCTAATATAGTATATTTATTGGCAAGTTTAAGAAAAGTAAAAAAATCTTTCAGAAAATTTTGATTGTAGGCTTGATAGACCTGGCCTTCTGGGCTTGTTTGTCAAGCAAAGCAAAATCAATTCATTGTGTCAAACAGAATCCTTCTCTTACCAACACTTGAGCACCTGCCCTCCCTAGCCCAGTGTGGCTGTTGACACTTGAAATGTGGCTAGTCCTATAGTTAACTGAGATGTTGTTTTGTGGAAAGTTTTAAATCCTTCATTTTAGGTTAGAAGGATTGGTTAACAGAAGAAGCCACTCATCACACACACAATAAAGAGTTTCGATACTTAATAATATTAAGGCTTATTTTATTAATTTCAATATACTGCCACGAAGAGAAAAGAAATAGAAACAATAGAGAAAAGTAACTGCATACACATCACCAAATTGGGTCGAAACCTACATCCAGACTTGAATAGTGCTGGGAAGTCCAGAGTAACAGCAGTCTGGAGTCCCTCTTAGGGAAAAGAGTCCTGGGCAGTGTGTCCACTCCACGGGAGAGGATTGGGGGACTCCTGCTTATAGTTCCAAGCTGCAAAATAATACCATCATCAGTTTGTGTGTGAAAATGCAGCTCTGGTTTTTAAGTTTTACATTGCTGTTTCTTTTACCTTGTGAGTCATAAGACTTCTTAGACCTTGGGAGGCTGGCCAGGCCTCCAGGGGCTCAAAAATTACAAAAACCACTCCCTTTCTTATCTAAAGTGCCCCTTGATTTGCTGGTAACAGTTGGTGTGTTTGCATGGCAAGCACATAATTTGGCGTGGTCAGAAATCAGTCAGAGGCCTGCTCTTCTGCTTCTGACTGCTTCTGAAGTCTGAACAAGACTCCCTCTATTTTATTTATAATTTCCCTAACGGATATATATGCCTACTCTCAAACAATTACTTGTGTGGCTTGTGTTATGTTTGGACAGTATTGTGATAAACTTAACTAAGTCCAGAATATCCTGTTGTATTTTTCTAAAGGTTGATAGGTAAATCTGATGTTTAATTTGGTATGAGGACCTCTGGCTTATAAGTTTATGCCACCTTTCATTACTCCTCTGATAATACCTGAAAAGAAAGGGAGTTTATAGTTACTGCTATGTTCAAATGTTTAAAAATCTTGTGAGCCATAATTTGTAGAGAAAGCTTTTGACTTGAAAGTTGCTAAGAATATTATTAAAGTCCAAATTAGTTTTACCGCCTGAGACTTTGGTCAGCCTCTCTCTACTCATAAGTTCTCATTAAGAATTGAACAGTGAATTTGTATCCCCCTTTAATAATCTCTTGACATTTGATCTGGTTGCTGGGTAATAACCAGATTTTAGGTTTTCTTAATTTAATCAGTAATTGTTAAAAAAAATTTCTCTGTTTACTTCTAGAGAAAGAGTCTTTCTCATTCTTGATTAGCTATTATTGTTTTCTATTTTGTTTATAGAAAGATTTTTTAACTACTTGAGTAATTAGCCTCCAACTAATAAAAATAATTGGGAAAAAAAAAGATTTTTTAGCTACTTGAATCTTTTTCTCAGATTTAAAGGAACTAGTTTTTGTTACTTTTTACTGGTAGAGGCAGAGATATGCTGTTGTTTACTGTGTAGACTGATTTGAATCTATACTGTTTCATGGTTTGTAAATGTCAATATAGAAATATAATTTTGCCAACTTTCTGTTTTACAGTGTGAACTTTGATGATTTGAAGAATCACCATTATATCTTTTGTTTCAAATACTGTAGTTTAGGTACTAAAAACAAATAGCAGTGTTAATAAAAATAGTGTCTTTTTACCTAGTGCAGCTTTTCTTATTTTAAACATTATAATATGCTAACAAGTCTGCCTTTTTAGATTAGTAGTATTCAACTTAAAAAAAAAACACAACAAAACAAGCAAACTTAGAAAGTACTCTTCAATTGTGAGCTTAGGGCATTTCCAGTACCTGGTAGACATTCAGTTGTCTGTTGAATAAAGTTCTTCAACATATATTGTGGTTATTTTATGGTTAGAACTTTGCATTTGACCTGAACACTTTCTTCTGTTTTCGCATAGGCAAACATTTCAGTAATGCAGAGTCCTCTCGTTGGAGTTGTAACAACTACTCCTGGAACAGGTAAGCAATGCCTTTCAATACCAGTGACAGTTTTTTACTCTTTGAATGAAGATAGTAAGACCTTTGTTGGTAATTGCCAAAATTTTGTCTTTTATTTTTCAAACTTGGAGATTTTCTCGAATGTCAGTAACTTTCTTTAGGAAGGAAATATTTGTATATTGGTTCTTTCCTGAACTTACAGATAAGGTTATGATATTCTACTGAAAAGCATTCAGAATTTAAAAAATTATATATTTGTGTCTCCTGAATTGTTATAACTGTAATTTTTAAAAAAAAGTTGCAGTTGAGAAGAAGAGGAATGCAGAGACTGAATAATAAAGATGTTTTGAGAGATATTAATGCATAGATGTAAATCTGAATGTCATTGACTACAAACAGCCATTGATTATATCTTGTTTTTCTTTAAGATTAATGGTATTTCTGTCACTGTTAGCATCATCATAAGCACAGCTTTTCCAGCATATTTATGTATTTATAATCTATCAGATGTTCATTCAGCAAATACTTGGCATAACCATGTACCAGGCCCTGGGAAACTGGAAAAAATAGATAATCTTTGCCTTTATGGAGCTTACATTTACTTATGAAATTTACATTTATAAGTAAAGTAAATAATTTGTTAGAAGGTAATATATTTTGTGGAGGAAAATTAAGCAGCAAAGGGAAGTAGGAAATAAGGGCTTATATAACTAAGGTAAGGGTATTAATTTTCTTTTGCTGCCATAACATATTACCATAAACTTAAAAGTGATTTAAACAATTTGGTGTGTTATTTTTACAGTTCTGGAGGTGAGAAATCTGAAATGGGTCTCAATGGGCTAAAATCAAGGCCTTGGTAGCCCATGTTAATTTATGGAGGCTCTGGGGAAGAATCCGTTTTCTGCCTTTTCCATCTTCTAGAGGCTGTCCGCATTTCTTTCTGGTCCTCTTCCTCCATCTTTAAAGCCAGCAGCATTGTATCTTTCTGATCATTCTGCTTCATGTCAAGTCTTGCTTTTTCTCTTTTAAGGACCATGGTGAATGCTTCCAGCCCTTCTGGATAGTCAGGATAATCTCCTTATTTTAATGTCATCTGATTAGTAATATTAACATCTGCAGTCTTAATTCTCCTTTACCATGTAATGTAAGATTCCTAGGTTTCAGGGTTAAGGACACGGATATCTGGGGTGGGAGGGCGTTTATTCTGCTTACCACAGATAGTTATGGAAAACTAACATTTGCTCAAAAATGTTGAGGGAAAGTTTTCTAAACAGAGGAAGAAGCAAGTACAGAGGCACTGATGTGGGATTGTGTCTGGAGTGTTTGAAGAAGTTGGACTAACATGTAAAGAAGTTAGTGGGAAATGGAGTGAGGGAAGGGGTGAATAATAGGAGATGAGGCCAGAGAGGGAATGGGGGTTATTGTATTAAGAGCACTTGGTCTTTACCCAGAAAAGGTAGAAAAAAATAGGATGAGATTGCCCCTGTGATGTGAATAGACTTTGGAGTAAGGGGCAGGGTGGAAGCAAGGAGATCAGATAGTTGGCTACTACCTTAACCCAGGTGAGAGATGATGGTGGCTTAGACATAAAACAGGACAGGAAAGGAGGAAAAGAGAAGTGACAACAAAAGCAGATGAAATGAGAGAAGCAATAGCAAGACAGTAGATTTAAATGAATCGAATAGACAATTATATAAACGAACTGTGCTAAACACTCCTGTTTAAAGGCAAGATGGGTGACAAAAATAATACCCAATGCCAAACATCTTTTTATCCTCCAGATCTTGATTTCTTCAAGCAGTGTGTGAGCCGTCACTGGCAATGTTCTTTAAAGTATAGATTTCTGCTACTGGTTTGTTCAGTGCTGTTTCTATCATGTTCCTCAAATTTCTTCCAGCCTCTACCCACTGCCCATTCTAACAGTATGCCCACACTTACAGGTATTATAGCAGCATTCTACTTGGTACCAAAATCAGTATTTTAAAAAAATTTTTGCTGTAACAAATTATCACAAACTTAATGGCTTAAAACAACACACATTTATTATCTCATAGTTTCTGTGGTCAGATGTCTTGGGCAGAGCTTGGTTCTTTATAGCTCAGATGTTAGCAGGGCTCTGTTCTTTTCTGGAAACGGCATGAATCTGCATCCAGGTCATTGGCCAAATTCAGTTGCATTCAGTTGTAGGACTGAGGTCTCTTGTTGCTTTACTGGCTGTCACCATAGGTTGTTTTCAGTGTCTACAGGCTGCCCTCATTCTTTGGCTTCTGGTTTTCTTTCTGTCTTCACAAGCAGCAGTGGCAGATCAAGTCTTTTCATATGCTTTGAGTCTCTCTGACCTCTCTGTTCTCTTATAGTTCTGATTTAACTTTTCTGCCATCCGCTGCTGTTAAGGGATCATTTGATTCCTTGGCTCACTGCAGTAGTCCAGGGTAGTTCTTTATTTTAAGATCAACTGATAAGTAACCTAATTCCATCTGTAAAATCCCTTCACAGCAATACTTGGATTAGAGTTTGGTTGAATTACCAATCAATCAAACCCAGGGACAGAAACTTTGGGGTGATGTCTTTAGATTTCTGTCTACCACATATCATGGTGAAAAATCTAGGATGTCACTTCTGTTTCAGTTACTTACTTGAGGTGAAATGTTCTAGGAGAATTAGTTCAGGTTTTAGCCATCTTAATCTGATCAAACAAATAGGTAGGTGACATGCTTTTATAATAGTGACTGTTTGGATGAGTCAGTAAGTGACTCCAGAGATACTGGAAATGCAAAAGCATGTAATTTAAGTAATGTGTTATATGTTTTAAAGCATTTCTTAGTTGTCTAAAAAGCATACATTATAATATTCTTATTGCTGTCAAGTAGAAAAGTACAGGGTTAAAGCTAATTAAACTTCCTTTTGTTAATCTATTTTTTCTAATACTGTAACTTCTATGAAGTTCTTGCAACTTTAGAAACCATATGTGAAAATATAAAAACTGTGATAGGAAAATATCCCTGTCATAAAATTGGCCACTGGGAGCCACTGCTGCTTCTCCTTTGAGTTTAAAGAATTTATGTATAGAAAGTCTTAATGGGACATAAGTGAAAAAGAATACTTTTGAAAACATGTTGTTGGCATGAGGACTATGATGCATGGTTGATACTAAACAGGAAATTGAAAAAAGAGTTGAGAAAATTGAAGGAGAATGTGTAGACTTTTCACTTAACATTTAATGTTAAATAAACGAAAACTTCTATAATATGTAAATTTTAACTTTTGGAGGTTGACAGCTTTTATAAAGAGACATCATAGGACTTATGAATTGCTGTTTTATGCTGAGGTCTTTGTATCCATGACTTTGAGCAAGCTTTGGGAGTTGGTGATGGACAGGGACACGCTTTAGCGTGCTGCAGTCCAAGAGGTTGCAAAGAGTCAGACATGACTGAGCGACTGAACTGAACTGAACTTGTATCCAATAAGGAGATTTTGATTAGTTTTTAATTCTGTAACTGAGGTTAAAAATCTCTCTTAAAATCTTATTTCTGGTACAGGAAAATGTTGGTCATTTAACAAAGTAGGTAGTCGAGATTAAAGAATTTCAGAAACTTTTTAACCATTATTGCCTCTGGTAAAGAATACTGAATGTTTGCCCTATCTTTCCCCATCCTCACTGATCAGTTTTCTTCTGCTGCTACTTAAGTATTCCTCTATTTTTCATCCTATTTTTATTATGTTTTTTTTTTTTTTCTTGAGAAGTTCTTTCATTTACTTGTCACCTCTCGGAAATAGTATAGCATTTACATGTACTGAGCTAGAATCCTTATTTGTGTTAGCATGTGTTAACAGGTTAAGTATTGATGTTTAGATTATAGCCATTTCTGGCTGCTTTTGTTGATGCTAGGAACTCATAATTCTAATAGTGTTCCCAGAAGAGCAGATAAAGGACTGGTTTTTCTGTGAGTAACTTTTCCCTGACACTTCTTTTTCTGATCTGGGTTAGCTGTTCCTTTTATGTGCGCCTATGGAACTCTCTCTGCTAGGCTTTTATGTTTCCCCACTACTGGGTTATGATCTTTAGGACAGAGATTCCTTCTATATATCTTCATTGTTTACCTGTCACAGAGCTGGGTATAAAGGGATGTCAGTAAATATTGCTTGACTGAGTGGATTGATGGATGTAAGTTGTAGTGAGTTGAATGGTGGCCCCCAAGATGACTTGTTCACATTGTAACTCCTGGAACCCTGAGTATGGCTTTTCATGGCCAAAGCATATTAAGTTAAGGATCTTGAGAGGGGTGTCTATCAAGGAGAGTGGACAGTTAAGGAGAGAGGAAAAGAAGGCAAGATAATCCTGGTAATTACCTGGATGCAAGTGCGCCCTAAATTTAATCACAAGTGTTCCTAGAGGCACAGAGAAATTTGGCACAGACAGTAAAGATATACAGAGGAGAAGGTGATATGAAGTGAGGGAAACATTGAAGTGTTGTAGCCATAGATCAATAAACACTAAAAGTCACCAGGGTCTCTGGAAGCTACAGGAGCCAGCAAGCAAGGAATTCTTTGATTGCTGGCCTTCAGCAGGTGTTAGACTCTGCTGAAAACTTGTTCTTAGACTTCTGGTTTCCAGAACTGTGGGAGAATAAATTTCTGCTGTTTTAAGCCACTCAGTTTGTAGTAGTTTGTTAGAGCAGACAGAGGAAACTCCTATATGTATATAGTGTTTTGAGGCAATGACATCCCAACACCAAATGATGATTGGAATATTTGTGTCCAACTTGGTGTGACATAGTTTTTCTTTAATATATTGAGTAAACATTAGCCTTAATCTAGATTATATTAGTTTCTTATCGCTGCTGACACAGATTATCACAGATTACAGTGGTTTCAAACAACTCATTTATTATTTTAAAATTCTGGAAGTCAGAAGTCTGGAATGGGTCTCAGTGGGCTAAAATCAGAGTGTTAGTAGGACTCCATTCTTTTGTGGAGGTTCTAGGGGAGAATCTTGTTTTCTTCTCCTCTTTTCCAGCTTT